CCAACGCGAGGCTGGGATGGGGCCCGGGGGCCGGTTCAGCCCCAAGGACCTTCAGAGCCATTAAATACAGGCTGGATTTACGATTTTCTAAGATACTGAAAAGCGTAGAAATAGCTGAAGGAATTAAAGAAAATCCCAAAGTAGGCCAGAGCCTAATTCCCTTTGCTATTTCCCAGAAATGGGTGCTGGGCGCTCTTGAGTTTCCTCCCTGCCCCTAGGGTACGTGGGCGCTTTGCCAGTTTGGCTTTGGGTCCTAAGCCCCGTACCAGGCTTGCTCTTGGCCCCAAACGTGCAATCACGCTTTGAAAGCACTGGTGTTGCACACGCAGCGTGCGTCTTGCAAGATCTTTATCGCTTCTGGTGATGGTGAGGCCACAAAGACCCTAGTTTTAACAGCAGTTTCCTAGACAGTTTGTGCAGGAGCGAAGGTGGAGTTGCAAACCCACCTCGTGCACGGGGCCAAGGGGCGCTGGGCTCGATCGGAGGTGTTTTTTTCCAGAGTGACGTTTCGGAGCAGACCAGAGATTTGCCCCTTGCTTTCTCCCCACACTTTCAGCACTGAAATGGGAACGGCTGCTTGGAGGCGAGTCTGGGTCTGTGTGGGAGAGAGGCCCTTTGGACTTACCACGCCGTGAGTGTACTGTGTTGGAAACACCAATGCGTGTTTTTCTATGATGAATCCCAGTTCTGGGTAACTTTCCACCTGCCTCAGGGCAGGGGAGTCCTCATTTCCGTTGCCCCATGGTGCTGTTCACCCCCGGGGGTAGGACTTCCACTGACTGTTCATGAGAGGTCCAGATTTGCCCCAGCCTACACAAGCCAGCATTGGGGTTTCTGCCTGGAGGTTCGATGTAGAAGAAATTCAGAGCCTTACAGGCTGATAGTTTGAGCAAATAATGGATTAAAGCAGGAAAACTGCTCCTCTGGAAACTCCTCCTGGCTGGGTTGTGTTGAGATGGTGATGTTGGGCTGCGCTCTGCTCCCTGGGCCAGGCGTGCCACTACAAGAAGGGTCTCGAACAAGGGTGGGAGAGCTGCTGATGTTCACAGAGCGCGTACACCTACGGAAACAGAGCGCAGTTGGCCCCACGAGCCAAGCGTTGCGTTTTAGATTCTAAGAAAGCTGACGGGAGCTGGGCGTTAAATTGCTCTGAACTCTTTGCAGCCAGTTGCATAAGTAAATTTAGCAGCATTTCAAAGCTCAATGGCAAAGCTGTGGGCAGCAAAATTCAGCAGTTTAGCTCTTTAGGTGTATGTGTATATGCAAGTATGCACATATGTATATAGGCATGTAGGTGTTTGTCTGCAGAGGAAGGACAATCTTGTGGTTATGTACTACAAGTCAAGAGATCTTACGTATTTACGTTCCCAGGGTGGGCACACGTCAGGCCTGGTTTTGGAGAAGCTGTTTATCTTTTCTGTGCCGTCACATCCACGCTTAGCTAGCTGCGGGAGCTGTTCCCTGTCTCCTTGGGGTGTCTGTGATGCAGGACGCGGTTCCCGCTTGCCGGCTGCGCGGAGAGCTGTGCGTTTCCCTGCGGCGGCGGGGCAGGCTCCTCTCGCAGCACCTTGGCCCTTCCCCTCTCGCAGCTCTCCTCCGCTCCTGTCCCAGGTAGCGGAGGGAGAGGAGAGGAGCAATTTGGCCTCCCGAGGCTGCCGGCTACAGCAAAGCCCTGGCAGAGCGGGGAGAGGTGCCGCTGCCCGGGAGCAGGGCGCAAGCAGCTCTGGGTTTGCGGGGGACAAGGCGGGGGGCCAGGCCAAGGGCTGAGCGGATTAAACGAAGTCCCTGCCCGGCGCTGGGTGCTCGAAGCTGCCGCTTCTCAGCCAGGTCCCGCCGCAGCATGCCTGGTGGGTTGCGCGCCGCTTGGCATTGGGAACCCTGCTGGAAAAACGCAAAAAAAATACCATTTGGGGGCAGTTCTGCTAGGGGTTGCTCGCTCTTTCTATTTTTCTTCCCCAGCAGCTTTTGCTTGGAAACGCAGAGCCCGCAGTGACAGGCCGCGCGTCCGCGGGGGGACGGGGTTGCCGGCTCGGGGTGCGGACGGCGGGGAAGGCTGCTCTCACCAGAAATCTGTGCAGGTCTCTGCATTTAACTACGGTTTTGGCGGACGGGGTTGGCTCCCCACGGGCGGTTTTTTAAACGTCT